CCCCCCCCACACACACACACTCCACACTTTGCTTATTAATTCTTATCGGAGATAGACGCCTTGTTATTTGAGGTACAGGGTTCCGGAGGTTCAATAGCATTACTGGCTTGGAAAGGGGATCAAACCCAATTTAGCACACAGTACAGTATTAGAGTTATGGAACTTTAAAACAAATGCGCAATTGAATGAACACCACTCGGACTGTGGTCTGAATTTATTAGAAACAAAAAATAAACAAAACAACAACAAACAAACAAATAAAAGAACGAAACGTTTTTTAAAGAAAAAACCCATTCTCGTCATGACATCATAATAAGGTCAATCGATACTTTAAAACGCCTTAATCAAGCCTGCTCTGTATAGTATTACATAGTAGTAAAGTACCTATCTCAGCTCGGATTTAAGACCAGAAGTGCGACGTAGAGACATTCCCCTACACTTTTATCTATGCAAATCGTGGGCAAACAGAACTGTACTGTGTACGACTTTTTGCCGACTACACTTCCCGCGGCTAGTCCCAATACCCACAGCATGACGTGGGCGAGGTAGTACATTTGCGAGGCATCGTGGTGAAATCAGGCGCTCGTCAAAGCAATGAAATCAAAGAAACCGGTACTTTTCTGGAAGATGGGAAATTGTTTTTGTTTTTTATTTTGTGTTTTTAATTGGGATCATCACCTTGCGTCCTTTTAAAAACTCATTTCTGTGTGGATCTTGTTCTTTTTTTTAAACCCATTGATTAAAAGCCCAGAAATGTATATTTCCCGTTTCCAAGGACACTCACACTTAGGAAGTTACCAAATTTGGCAATTATTTTCTCGCTAATTTTACCTCTGACACCAGGTGACCCTCCTCTCCTTCAGTCGCAAATATCTCGACTTCTATCCAAAATATTCGTGTATTTTTTTCCCGCCAAATGCATGACAAAAAGAACAAGCTTTATGATATTATTGATAACTCTATATTATGCTCTAAATTTGTCAAGAGCATGATTTCACCACGTTGCGATACGTACATTTGTACATGTAGTACTTCAGACAGGCGAGTTTACGAGAGGGAGGGCCGTACTATGTAACAGGAGGGCCCTCGTAACTCAAAGGGGTACACACGGTCGGTTTTTAATCGGCCGACGAAAGTTATGGCAAATCACAAACATCCGAGTGTTCGTCGCACTATAATTTAGATCTAGATGGACTCCAGGATTGCGAGGCTTTTAGTATTAAAATTTTCATAACAAAGAAGTCAGGAAGGAAAAAAGGAGGGGAGAGAGAGAGAGCGAGAGAGCGAGAGAGAGAGAGAGAGAGAGAGAGAGAGAG